TATTCCTCTTAAACCACTCTCACATAGAAGATGAATTCTATTAATTAGAACTCTGTATTAGTTTAACTATTACTGTAGGACAAATTATCCTAAAACTTAGTTTGCATGAAAACAATGATAATCATATATTACCTTTCACATTTTTTATGGGTCAGGACATCAGAGAGGGCACCACAGGGCACCACCAGAATGGCTTGCCTCTCTGTTCTGTGATGTCTCAGTCTTAGCTGGAAGACTTGAAGACTGGAGGCTGGCATCACCTGAAGGCTCATTCACCCACATCTAGTGATAGATTCTGGCTCTCAGCTGAGACCTTAGCTGGGCTTGTGGGTTGCAGCTACACATGGCTTCTCTAAGTGGATTAGGTTTCCTCACAAGATACTGGGTGGGTTACAAAGGCGAACGTTGGAAGAGAGACAGAAAGAGAGAGATGGAATCTGTACCTTTTTACGTCTTAGCCTCAGAAGTCACATAGCATCACTGTACCATCCTCCACCGGTCAGGGCAGTCACAAGCCCCACCCAGACTCAAGGGATGGGAACACAGACCCCACCTTGGTGGAAAGGATATCAGTCATTGCAAGAAAAGCACTGGTGCAGTGGGATAAATATATTGATGCAGCCATGACTGGAAAATACAATCATTTTCAATTTCATTTACAGAAACCCCAAGACTAACTGGCTTAAACTAAGAGGAAATTTATTGACTCACATATGAAAACTCCAGGCGTAGGGGTGACCCCAAATAAGGCTTGAATAAATCTCAAGCTATGTCCTCAGACCCAGTTTCTCTTTTCTTCATCTCTGGGCTCAGCTTCTTCCATGCTAGCTTGAGTCTCAGACAGATTCTCCCTTCATGGTGGCAAGATGCTGCCACAGCTCCACCTACACACCATCTCTTGCTCAGTTACTGCAGGAAAAGAGAAATATGCTTCTATGACAGTTTACACGAACATCCTAGAAACTGAGTTTCTTTGGCTCTAATTGTCCTGACTTTGCTCTGGTGCCCATCCCTGAGCAATTTGCTGTCATCAAGAAAATGTACTGCATGAACTGCCATGGGCTTGAGTCACACAGCCACCTCCGGAACCAGGGGCAAGGTCAGCATCATCATAAGTCACAGGTCTTCTACAACAGAGATTAATTCAGCGATGAGAACAGAATTTACAGGGGACAAGGGACAGGAGGACAGGGGTTTATATTTCTCATAGCACAGAAAGTCTGGGATCACACAGCTACTGGTGTCATCCCCTGCTTCCATGGTTTCAGACAGGTAGAGCTGTGGTTCTCTTGATCCTTCCACTTTTTCCAAAAGATGAATGCTCCAGGGGTGCCTGGGTGGCTCAGTCTGTTGAGCGTCTGACTTCGGCTCAGGTCATGATCTCACGGCTCTGTGAGTTTGAGCCCCACATCGGGCTCTGTGCTGACGGCTTGGAGCCTGGAGCCTACTTCGGATTCTGTGTCTCCCTCTCTCTCTGCCCCTAATCCATTCATATTCTGTCTCTGTCTCTCTTAAAAATAAATAAACATTAAAAATGTTTTTTTAAAAAAGATGGATGTTCCCGTTCTAGTTATCATGTCTGTCTAGATATCATGTCTCTTTGGTGCCATAGATCACATTGCCACTGCTCACCTTAAGGTGGTTGGGAAACTGAGTACAGGTGAGGCAGGCAAGGGAGAAGAGGGTTGGAAAGAGCATTAAGTTATCCAGCCCATAGTCTGTCAAATCAACCCCTGGACATAGAGGTGTGTCTGCTTCACCCAAATCACATGGCTGAAGAAAGAAGTGATGTCTCTTTCATAGAAAAATTGGAGCACACTTACCGTAAGAAGGCTAATGAGATGCTGAATGGCAAACATAAGAACTGGCCACTGCCTCAATGACCTTTCTTTGAATTCTGCAAAAGTCTTTCCTTTCTGTGGGAAGTGCAGAAGAAACCCTGGTGACTTCTTACTAGTAATTGCCAAATTCTGTAGTAATTTAAGTAATTTTCTTATCGGATCTCTCTTTTGCATTGGATACTATTGATCATTCCTTTAAAAAAAATTTTTTTTAATGTTTATTTATTTCTGAAGGAGAGAGAGACAGAGTGTGAGCCGGGGTGGGGGTGGGGGGCAGAGAGAGAGGGAGACACAGAATCCGAAACAGGCTCCAGGCTCTGAGCTATCAGCACAAAGCCCAACGCGGGGCTCTAACCCACAAACTGCAAGAGCATGACCAGAGCCGAAGTCGGACGCTCAACTGACTGAGCCACCCAGGTGCCCGATCATTCCTTTATTTCTGCAACTCCTTACTTCTTTTTTTAAAAAAAGATTTTATTTTTAAGTCATCTCTACTCCCAACATGGGGCTGAAACTCACAACCCCAGATCAAGAGCCACATGCTCCATCAACTGAGCCAGTCTGGCACCCCTGTAACTCATTACTTCTTCATTAAAACGGTTTCCCTTGCTTCTGTGACACTGAGCTTTTTGGGTTGTCCTTGAACCTCTCTGACCATATGATCTGTGCATTTGAGAGTCCCTTCTTCATCCCCCTACTCCACACACATGAATCTGCCTGCAGCCAAACAATTTCTCTTTCTGTCTACTCCCTTCTCTTTGTCATGTTTCTTAATCTGACTGCTCAGTTTAGGTATTTTCATTCTTATTTCTATAATAAAGAAATTTAAGGTTGTTAATCTTCTTTTAAGGAGAGATTTGGCCCATTTGTATGAACTTTGTTATGTAGTGCTCTCCCTTTTGTAAATATCTAAATAGAGTTTGCTTTCCTTGAGTTTATTTTGTAATATGAATAATGCATTCTCTGCTTTCTTTTTGTTTGCACTTGGCTGTTGTCTTTTCCTAAAGGTTGTGTTTAATGTTTCTGCTCATTCATATGTTCCACACACTTGACTTAAATACACACACTGGACTTCCATCTAGTACATGCATGGACCCTCTTAACTTTCCATGTTTATTAGTTTAAATGCCATGGCTGTACACCCAGAGATTTCTGAACTTTGGCCCACTACTGAAAGGACTTTGGAGGCCCTTGATATACTGCATGGCAGAGATATTGAGGAGACTGAATCAGGCAGGGTTCTTTGATTGTAAGCAACAGAAACCAGCTCTGGCTAACTTTAAAAAAATATATGGGCTAGTTCACAGAAGAAAAAGAAAGGCTGAAGAACTAAAACCCTATCACCCACAGGGAAACATTCAAATTCATTAAACATAATAGAAATGTTCGTTTATTTTTTCCCCCTCAGTGAGACATTGTTCTAAGTACCAGGAAATCAGTGGGAACTCCTACTTTCAAGACACATATGTCTAATGTGGATCTAGACCCAGGGCTTAGCTCAACAGCCTCTTATCCTGCCACTTTCCAACATACACAGTTAATACCTTAAATATCTTAAATACCACAGTTATGCATTTCCCTCATGGACTAGGTTCTTTCCTTAATGTTTACATATCTTCTATTATTCTCCTCTTTCTGCCTGTAATGCCCTCTCCCACATTTTTATTTGATGACCTTCTATCCAGTCTTCAAAAATCAAGCAAAATGTCACCACTATTATGGGGAGGTCAATAAATGACTCCCACATTTTCCCTGCTCAGTTGGGAACTACTGTATTTCTCTTTCTTTCTTTCTTTCTTTTTTAATTTGTTTTGACAGAGAAAGAGAGCAGGGGAGGGGCAGAGAGAGAGAGAGGGAGAGAGAGAATCCCTAGCAGGCTCCAGGCTAGAGCCTGACTCGGGCTTGATCCCATGAACCAAACCATGAGATCATGACCTGAGCCAGAAACTAAGAGTCAGAAATTCAACCTGAGTGAGCCACCTGGAAGGCCCCATTGAGAACTATTTCATATGTAGATTGATAACATATCTCATATGCTGATTGAATAAAAAAATGTCATTTTTATCATTAATAAAGTCTAAGAGAATATGGCTTATGTTTGAGGCCAAATGACTTTGTTAATATTTGGCCGTACAGTTAGGCAGACATTTTAAAAAGTATTTAAAGTTTTATTTTATCTATTACAAGTATTGTTTCTAAGATTATTTTAAATTATTTTTATTTTATCTACTAGTTATAGAAAAACATTTTTGTTAGCGATGATATTATAGTCAGTACCATGTGGTTAAATGAATTTCATTATTTAAAAATTTTTTAAAAAATAGGGGCACCTGGGTGGCTCAGTCAGTTAAGCATCTGACTCTTGATTTTGGCTCTGGTTATGATCTCACAGGTTCGTGGGTTTGAGCCCCACATGGAGCTCTGCGCTGACAGCATGCGGAGCGTACTTGGGATTTTCTCTCTGCCTGCCCCTCCTGCTCTCTCTCTCTCTCTCTCTCTCTCTCTCTCAAAATAAATAAACTTGAAAATTTTTTAAAAATAATTTGTGATATAGAAATGTAAATGTCTGTTCTCATTTCAACTTCTTTGGATGCTTTATTTTGAGGCTGTCCTAGCTAAAAAAGATGCCTCATGGTGATATGTAAACCCAAGACTATATCAAAACTTGATTTCCTCTTTCAGTTGTATATTCCCATTGCTTTTTGTTGAAATTCAGGTTAGTAAATATCCACCTTTCATCATATTAATCAGTTTTTCTTGCAAACTATTTGGAAGATGTGGAATTATAATAATTTTAACAAATGAGTTAAAAAACAATGATGCTTTTATCTGAAAGATTTTTAAATTGGTTAACAATTTTTTCCCATTTTCTATGTACATGTATATAAATTTTATAGGTGACTCCCATTGGTTTTTATAATAAAATCATGTAATTATATAAAATGCTTTTTCATAATTATAAAATTATTTTCATAATTCTCTCTGCATTTATCTGTTTAATTTTTTCCACATTTATTGACATATAATTGACATAACAAACTGCACATACTTATAGTGTACACTTTGGTGAGTTTTGACAGTGTTATATAGCTGTAAAACCATCAACATACCTTGAGTATCCTATACCCTTTCCTAATATGTCTGTGACCTTTTCCTCACTCAGCTCCAGGCAGTTGCTGATCTCCTATAATACTTGAGTTGTCAAAGTATGGACTAAAATATCTGCCAGGTTCATCTGGGCTTGTGCCAAAGGATAAAAAAGAGAGGTAAGTGCTGAGCCTTGTATATATTATTCCTTCTTGCAAACTCACCAGTCACATAAGCTACTATTCCTCCCTTTAAGGAACTCCCAGCATAGGAATGCAAGAAACCTGGGATAAGGAGGTTCCTTCTTTAACAATGCTTTTCGCTCCTCCTCATACAGTCATTAACTACTCTGGGCTCCCACTTTATAAACACTTCTGTAATAATGTGGGGAAAACATTACTTAGCAGAATTCACGGAGGACTGCAAAAAGATATGTTGAGCCTGCTCTCTATCAGAGAAGGAGCTAGGAATAGAGTGTCAGGAAAGTGAGCTTTCAGAAGGTGGTGGAGTGTCAGAAATGGAGTCAGAGGCAGCTGAAAGTTGCATTTTGTTTGATATCACCCCACCTCCATTTACTCTATGTTAACGAGGGTGAATTTTTATACACATGTAAAAATGGTGATGGGCCAGAGATTCAAGATCAGGTGTGATGAGGGGCGGAATAGACACAGTGTACCAGTACTGAGAGAGTTTCCATGAAAGGACCAAGAGAACCCAAATATTTAGTTATCCAAAGATTTTTTCAAGGGTCATGTCGTAACCAGCCTCCAAGATGGCCCCCAGTGATTCTCCTCTTCTCCCTTCTCCTCTCCACTCCTTCCTACAATGAATTGGGTGGTCTGTGTAACCTATAGAATATCATGGTAATGATGGAGGGTGATTTTCAAGGCGACGTCACAAAAGACAGCCTTTTATGCCTTGCTCTTTCTTGGATCACTAGCTCTGGAGGAAACCAGCAGCCAAGTTCTAAGGACACTCAAGCAGCACCAAGGGGAGGTCCACATGGCAAGAAATTAAAGCCTCCTGAGCAGCTATGTGAGTCTATCTTGGAAATGAATCCACCAGTCTCAGGCCAACATCTTAACTGCAAGCTCATAGAGACCCTTTGCCACCATTATCTTATGTTTTGCAAACTGTGGTCACTCAGCTGCCTCCCTGAAAGACTCCGAGCTCCTAGAACCCTGAACCCCGGACTTGCTTATTTAAGTCTGTCCCCATCACAGCAGGCAGATTAAAGGCTAAAAGAAAGTGTGTTGGATGAACAATGGTTGCCCTCTAATCAAATGAATGAATAAATGAATGAAGGAGCGAGATATGCCCAGGGTCCGTTGAGTCAAAAGGCACAGACTTCATCTCTAGGTCTTTCTGAAAAACTAGACCTATATCTCACAATAGCAACATCCAAGGGAGAAACTATGACTATTTTCACATAGACTAGGAAAGACTGCCAAACCCTCAAAACAATGGGAAGGAGTCTTCAAGTATCATGGAAAGAAGAGATGTCACTTTGGTAACTGTGGGTGGCAAAGCAGGATTAGAGCAAGGAGACAACTCCCCTGTGAGTACCTCATTTTACAGCATATGTTTTCCAACAGTCTTGTGAGGTAATCAGAGATAGGATTACAGCTCCATTTTGTTGAAGAGAAAATTGAGAATCAGAGAAGGAAAGCAACTAGCCTGAAGTCACACAGGAAACACATAGTCCTTAAATTCCCAACCAGAGAGTTGTTCCAAGACTCTCTAATGTATTGCTCAAAAGATTGCTTTAGGGGCGGCTGGGTGGCTCAGTCGGTTAAGCCTTCGACTTTGGCTCAGGTCATGATGTCGGGGTTTGTGGACTTGAGCCCCGCATCCGGCTCTGTGCTGACAGCTCAGAGCCTGGAGCCTGCTTTGGATTCTGTGTCTCCCTCTCTCTCTGCCTCTCTCCTGCTCACGCTCTGTCTCTATCTCAAAAATAAATAAACATTTTAAAAAAATTAAAAAAAGAAAAAGATTGCTTTGTATTCCTCTTGGCCTAAGCCTGCACCCACCACAGACCCCTAGGCAAAGGAAAGGGAGTGAAAAGAGTAGTTGCTTTCCTGCTGAGAACACTTCCAGTCTGTTTGCAAAGAGATCCCACCAAACGGCCTGTTTATTGGGGTGGGGGTGGACAGGGGTTTGAGCAGGGATTTGTGAAAGGAAAGGGAAGGGCTGAGGAAGCTCTGGATGGCAGAATTCCACTCAGCGTCATTTAGGCCCCTCCTCCTCCCAGAAGCCAGCTAGGAATGATCCTCCTGGCCAGCTAGGAATGATCCTCCTGGCCAGCTAGGAATGATCCTCCTGGCCAGCTAGGAATGATCCTCCTGGCCAGCTAGGAATGATCCTCCTGGCCTGAAACTCCCACTCCTTTTTCTGAACTCATTGTGAAGTTGGTGGGTGACGTATTGGGAGAGCAGAGCAGTGAGAGGAAGTGGGGCATTGCCTGGATTTCACGGATTTACCTCCATTTGTACCCCCATCTCCACCTCCTTAATGTACTTTATACGGGCCTCTATCATAGGTCTTATCAATCCAGCCCAGTCTAAATTATATAAACTCTTCTCTGGCATATTTGACAAAGAATGAAGGATTTCTGCAGTTTCTCAGTAATTACTCTTTAAATATTAATAATTGAGATAAAGACAAAAGAAGAGAACACTAAATGTAAGTATTTACAAATACTCTGCCTACTGTCTTTTCCCTGGAAACAGGAGCATAACAGAAGCTGAGAGCAGACCAGACTGCTTTTCAGGAGAAAGAAGAGAAGCAGGGAAAGGGGGAGAGAGGAGGCAAATGGGTGGAGGTGAGTGGTGGGAAGAGATGGAGATGAAATGAGCTGTCACCCTGAAGGATGGAGCTCTGGGGAGAGATTTGTAGTGAGAAGTTTCGTGAAATAATCGTATGTGTTGTGATATAATTCCCATCTTGTTCCCAAGGGCATTCAGTAAAGATTTCTGCTCTTGTAGAGTCTCATTTGTGTTTCTCTTAGAGGCACCACTGACCCAATTCTGCCCTAAAAATGACGACATACGCCTCAGTTAAGTTATAATAATGCCACTTCTACTACTACTAATAGCATCTACTCTTTAAAAAAAATTTTTTTTAAACATTTATTTATTTTTGAGACAGAGAGAGACAGAGCATCAACGGGAGAGGGTCAGAGAGAGAGGGAGACACAGAATCCGAAACAGGCTCCAGGCTCTGAGCTGTCAGCACAGAGCCCAACGCGGGGCTCGAACCCACAAACCGTGATATCATGACCGGAGCTGAAGTCAGACGCTTAACCGACTGAGCCACCCAGGCACCCCAGTAGCAACTACTCTTTAGTGAGTGCCTTTTGTGTGCCAGATCCAGACACTTGTAATGTCATCAACTGGATTTAAAATGTTTCGAATTGGCTACAAATAGCTTTGTATGATTGGTGATTCACAGATATTCACAGTTATGATCTGTTCCTGGAGTCACAAACTCATTTGTCTGCAAGGATGAGGCTCTAGTGAAGTGGGCTATCTTTAACAGTATAAATTTGATATTGACCGTGCAGGTCAGGTGATGTAAGGGAGGAACAGACACAGGTCAACTGGAGAGCCAGGCCCCAAGAAGGCAGCTGCTACTTAGTCAGGCCAATTTTTGCCATGAGGAAATACGGCCTCACTGTTACTGGATCCTGTGTAAGTTTTTCCACAGAAGTCAGAAATGCCTTTTCATATGTATTCCTAATTTTTAAATTAATTATAAATCTTTAGGAGAACTAGCTTGTGGCCTCTCTTTACTAAAATGGGCCAAAGAAAAAACGGTAATTAATGTCATTTGGTCAGAAAAGCTTAAGCCACTTGGCTCTTGAGAAAAAAAGGAAAAACAAAAAAAACAAAACAAAAACAAAAACAAAATGAAACCAAAACCAGAGACCAGAACAGGAACACGGTGTGTCACAAGGCTTTTGTAGAAACTTGGTTTCTTTATAATCCAGTTTATATCCTTTTAGGTCTGTAGTTCTCTAACTCAGCTGCTGGATTTCCCTAAAGGAAATTGCGTACTGGCTGAAGATGACACAGTGAAATCATAAAGAAAAGTGTGCAAGTTTAAAAGATAGGCTGTGTTCCAGCTGAGTGAAGCAACCAGATCTGTTCTGGGCTTCCCTACATTCCAGCCACAGCAATTTCTGGGACTGGTTCCTACTGGGGGTCCAGGGGAGAAAGCTAAATTTCTTAAAATCCTTCCACCTGCACAGCACACTGTTGCTGAGTTCTGTGTTCTAAGGCCAAAAAGAGGGTACGAATGGAAAAAGGAAATGGGAGTGGGGGTGGGGATGAGAGGGAGATTTAAATTCTCAGGCTCAAATAATGTCAGAGCAGGGAGGGACCTTAGATAGCATTCTAACCCAATTTTTATACATCTTTTATTTCTTAACATTTCAAAATTAGGATATACTTGTGTTAACAGATTGCTATAAATAGAAAGCAGACACTCCTTCCTCTCTTGCCTTCATTTACAGCTGGAGAAACAAGCTTGTAGAGGGAAGTGATATGCATTGTCACCTAGTTAGAGTGCAGGGCAAGTTTTCACGGAGATCGACATTGGGATTGAGCAGGATTGTTTCCTATAGAAAGGGAAGAGGCTGGAATGTTGAGGAGAACGTTTAGTCTCAGATATTTTTATATCTGAGAAAAGACAGGAAGAAAAAAAGACTATGCTCAGAGTTTTATATATGTTGTTGTTGTTGTTGTTGTTGTTGTTGTTGTTGTTGTTGTTTTTACGTAAGCCTTACCTCTCCCCTGGGAGGGAGGTATAGTTATTCTCATATTAAACATGAGGAAACTGGGGATCAGAGGGTTAATTAACTTGCCCAATATCACACAACTAGAAAAGTGGAGTAACTAGAATCCAGGTCTCTATAACCCTCAAGTTTCAATCCCATATATCACTCATGTAAATTAAAAATGGTTTCCTCTGCCTCTGGGCACATGAAGCCCAGCACCAGAGCTCATGGAGATGGTGGGTACGTTCTACAGTGCATTGGCTGTGTGTTCTCCTCCAAGTGCATGGCCCTTAGCTACTCTGCAATATGGTTTATCAAAAAAAAAAAAAATCAGGACATTTTCATTATGATACGTCTTTACTAACTCTCCAAATTCTCTTTGAACTTTATTCTGATGTGAGA